ATAATGTATGAATAATGAGTTTTTGTTTTGTTGATATATGAACAAAATTGTATTATTTGGTTAGATTTATTTATTTTTATGACTTTTAATAACATCTAAATAAGAGGTTAAATTATAGATACATACAAATTGATGATATTGAAATTAAAATTTTATTAATTAATTTAAAATAATTAGATATTAGATATTTCTCTAATATAAAATTTTAATTACAATATTCAATTTTTATCTCTGCTAATTTTGATAGATATATTTTGTATTAAAGATATGCTTTTTTTTTTTTTCTAAAATTCTAATTGAATCGTCGTGATGATCATTCTAATCATAACATGTAAAAATAATTACATAGTTCAATAGAAATAACTCTAAAAATAATGTTTGAGCGATAATTTTGTATGAAAGAAAAAAAAATGGATAAAAAATAAACGTTTTGCAAACCAAAATATGTATAGGCAATTCAATAGTGTAATAGGAAATATGAATAATGGAATGATGTATGAATAATGTAAACTTATGCAAGACTGGAAAATGCAATGATAACTGAGTTTGCAGTAGTTACACGGTGGCATCGTTTTCCCCTCTATCGCACGTTATTATAATTCCGATCGATAATCCAAATTGATATGAAATTGCAATTTAAACTATGACACGGCATCCGACTTTCAAACTGACAAATTCGAAATGCGCGCACGGATACCTTTCAGGACAATATCCTGGGACGCCCTAATCGCAATCTGCCGCTAATTTAAATAATTCTACGAAGGCATCCATTAAATATTATGTGCGTCTGCTTAACGTAATAATGGATGCTCTTCAGCGTCACAAAAGGGTTAAAGATAAAGGGATCTCTTTAAAAAAAACGAATGCATTTATGCCACAGAGTCAATCGGATTTCACATCATCATCGACTTTGATTGCCGAGGCGGTGTATGTTATTCTTCTGAGGATTCCTTTTGAGAGCTGGAAAAGGTTATTTCTTCTCTTTTTTCTCCATCTGCTGCACGAGTGTAGAGGAAGAAGGAGGCTTTCATTTCGCGACTGCATATTCTTGTTTTCCTTTCGGCTCCCCCAATTTTTCTCCCCGAAACTTGTAGGTCAACAGCTGCCATTTATCGTAACATTTCATTGTAATACAATAAGGAAGGGAAAGAAACAGGAAACAAAATCAATACAATTTCACGCTTTGTTTTAATGCGTCGAAGGCGTCAATAGTATCGTGGGAGGAATAAATATCATCGCAGATAAATCACTTTATCTCGGAAATTGTCTCATTGACCGCAGACACTTCTTCCAAGTTGACCTACTTTGCCCACGGATTTCGCCTACTAAAAATTCGATTCATATAAATAAAGTATTTCCCAAGTTTAAGGTCAACAGGAAATGGAACACATAATTATAATAATTACAGAAATAAGAAGCAGTAAAAAATTAGTTTACTTCATAGCAAGGTCACCACCAGATTTGGGCTAAATGGATTAGAGTAGACTGGAGTTCACTTTCAAATCAACAAAACTATTTCGGAATGTGTAAATAACACGGTAGCATTTTTGAGTTGTTGCTGTTGTTATTTTTTCTTTCTATTTTGTGAAAGGTTAATACACACTTAATGTATTCCTCGATCTGTGACAGAGCGGGAATTTAAAGCAGTTTGCATAACTTATAATTTGCCACCAGGATTTACAGGCGTTTCGCAACAATGAACGAAACACTTTCGGCTCTTAAAACACGACATAACTCCGTGAATGGGCTGCGAATTAAAATCAACGTTCGTCCGTGTGGCCGAAATGCAAATGGATGTATTCGTAAAGTTTAGTAGTTTATTTTAACGAGGCTTCATTATGATTTTGCCCAATTAACCTGATTCCAAAATTGTTCGTCGATTGAAATTTGCCAACAGAACTGCAATTTCACATCAATATTTCGAATTTGCTTTCACCGCTTTGACGAAGATCCAAAGAGACCCGACATACTTATAACTAATAATTATACTAATTACAAAACTTCAATCAAATCATAAGTAGTTCTTTTTTTTTTGTAAATAATCTTTAGTGCATATTTATATAGTAATAATATATTTTCTAATTAAAAAATCTATTCTTCATCAGCAAGTGATGTTTAACAACTATAATAATTAAGTCAAACTCAAATTGCATGCAAGATCTGAAAGCCGATTTTTTTAACTAGATCAGCGGTTTCCAACCTTTATGCTAATACGCCTCCCCGATTTTGTTTCCGCGCATCCCTTACCTTTTGTTGTTTTAATATATTAAATAATATAGATACATTTTATTATGGTATAAAAATTAATTTATTAAAAAAATTTGGCGCCTCCCCTGTTATTAGCCCGACCTAGCTCCAACCTATTCACTTTTACCTTCAATAGCATTCTTACACATAAGCTATATTTTTCTAATACTATAAACATTGTAATTAAAATTCGCGGGACGTGTAAATTAGCATCAGGGCCGGTTGCCGCACGAAGACCACTGAGTTAAGTAACTTGGGTAATAGTTGTTATTTGAATGACAAATGGTGCAAATATTAATTTATTTTAAAATTGACTTTATATTTTGTATTGAAGCCAAAAAAGTTTTTTGTTTACTTTTTCAATGTATGTTATACAATTCATTAAATATTAGTTATATACAAAATTAAATGCTGATATATTTTATATTATGTAATCTAACATAATGTATCTAATTAAATTTTGGTACATACCGAAAATTGCATTGGGTATATAAATATTCACGTTGTAAAATATAATAACATATGAAAAAAAAACCAAGGCTGTGTTGGGTCAATAGGGTCAACTTGTGAAAAGAAGCGTTGAAAACGTTATATTAAACGTGCCATTAAAAAAAAGTAATGCCATTGTTCTAAAAACGTGTACTCACCTTGTCTTAATAAGATGGCCATGACAAAGTCAACGAATAAAACGGCTCCACGGTCGGAGGTCACGGAACACGGCGAATGAGTTTTCCACCGGTAACATGATGTCAGTATCTTTCGGTAGATTTGATACGTTCTCTCTCACATGCGTGATTCAGAGTTACGTATGATGTAAAATTGAGATCCTTGAAATAATTTAATGTGAATTTATATCTCAAGAAAAATATAGAGTTAGATAGTGAATTAATTAAAACAATAATTATGATCGTTATCTCTAGATGTTAAACAAAATACTAATTGATTTATATTGAGCAGAAATTTTAATCTCATGCATGTATTCAATAATATTGCGACTAATAGCCGAATGGTTAAGTCGCTCTACACCAATAGTATGAAATAAAAACATATATCAGAGCATATAAGTAATTTATATTATGTAATGTAGAAAAAAAGAATGTTTACGATACTTTATTGGTAAATATGTGATAGAATTATGGCGCTATCAAATTCGATCTGTAAAATAATACTGAATAAATCTGTCGATAATGAAAAAGCTTATAGAAAACCGCACCTTCGATTCAATGATCCCTAGAAATTCCACCTGCGGTAGGTGAAAAGCTAATCTCGATAGCGTTTGAAAGTGAGCTTGTTTGTTCGTTTTTTTGTATGTTCTACTCGTTCGGAATGTAATCGCCAAATAAAATATCTTTGGCTACGTGTAGATATGCCACACCTAGGTATAGATTCAGTGTCGAATGAAAATTAAAAAAAAACATCGGGTGTATAGAACGTTGTATGTGATGATGGGGGATAATAATAATAAGAATAATAGTAATAAGCTTCAGTTTATTGCATTCATTTCGCCTTATTCAGAATTCGCTTATACATTTCGATGTTCCATTCGGGGCGAACGTTGGACGGGGCGCGTCGCATTCGCATGTAAATATCGCATGCAGATTGCGCTGGGAAAATCGGCCGCAATTTACTTATCTGCACAATCCGTGCAGTTATGTAAACTTGGCACTGCAAGAATATAAAACCGAGTGGTCATAGTGGTGTCGTCTGCTGCTCCTACCAATACAGATATATTTCATTACTCATTTCATTGAACCTATTTACATTCAAATATAAATGACACGGGCAAAGGCCGTTTCGACGCGCAGACCTAGTTCATTATTGCGATCACGGTATATTTTACTGCGAGAATAATATTAGCAGAATGATAAACAATACTTGCAAATGCAAATAAAATAACAAGTTTTATTGAGTTTATATTTATTTCATTTCATTAACACAATAATATTAAATAATCATGTACGTATTATCGAACATGAAGTGATCACAGTTCGATAATACGTACATGACTATTTATGCTTGTCCGACGGAATTAACATATAAATATTCGTATGAACGTATAATAATGTCAGTTTGTATAGGTATTTATAATGTATATTTGATAATGTATATGAAGAATTCATATTATCTATTTGAATTCTGCCTAACATATTTCCTGTTTTTTCCAAACTTATTTTTAGAAAAGCTAAAACATTACTGTTTAATGAAGAGACAGAATTTTAAATTGTAACTTGTGCAATTCCAAAATTGAAAGGCTGCGAAAATAGCTTATATTCATAATTAGTTGAATGAAGTTTATATACCATTTAAATAAATTTCATTTGCTGTGTTCAAAAACCAAGTAGACGCAATTAAAACATGAAAATTGGCCGGGGAAAAGCGATTCCCTAATTAGTATAATTAATCCCTTGGAAATGAGAGCTATGAGATTTTTTTTGACGTATTTCCTTTCATTGCATCGTCCGAAGGGAGCAACGCTAATTCGAGGCCCAAAAACCTCGATGGACTGAAATCAAAGAATACTCAGCACTTCTTCTAATTAACTGCAAAAAGCGCGAAAACTTAATTTTCAATGCCTCTGAGTATGTGTGCGACTTTTCTTTCCTATATTTTCTTGGTTTATGTGAAATGGTTGGATGAATGTATGAGTGGTTGTGGAGAGAGTCTGTTTGCTCGCCGAACGATATGATTCGTAAGCGATTTATTACCACTTAAAAGCCATTCATCTCATGTTGTTTTTCCACTTTTTGTTACAGAACATCCTGGATAAATTCAATCCTGGCGCAAGGCAGATGATAAATGCTGGGAAAGCGTATTTGAAAGCACTCCACGGTAAGAGTAAATAATATTTGAAGAAGGAGCAGAAGCGGCGAGGAAGAATTTTGCCCACGGTTGATTTATAAAATGGTTTGGAGTACGTAGATGGAGACGGTAGAAATGGCTCTGATCTCTCAGATTCCATGTTTAATTTGGCATTAAGAATTTTAATATTAACTTTTATTACATTCCGTCTACGGCCTCCTTTCAATATCATCACTATTCCCTTTAGCGATTGTGCATTTGTTTGTTTAGTATTCTTTCATTTTTTAAAGGATTTTTTTTTTACAGATTTACTTAAGAATATATTACTTTCAGTTTATTCCCTCAAAGGATTATAATTACCTAAATACCAGATATTTAACCATTTAAATATAAAATTCACAAAAACAACAGCTCTTTGTAAGTAAATTGTCACTGCTGTTCATAATTATATGAACTATTTAGCAAAAGAATATCTTGATGAAGGATACTAATTTAATATAAAATATAATAGCTGATCAATGATAAAAATTCATTAAATTATTTAAAATAGTTATACTAAAACTACTTTAATTCCACTTATGCAGTTTTGTAAAATAAGCAATTTTATTGTATTGAGTATAAATTACTTGTTTAATTAATATTAATGTATTCATAATTAATATTAATGAATACATTAATATTAATTAATTTATTTATAGAAAAAAACATATTTTCAGCAAATTAAATAAGGTTTTGGTTAGTTTTTAAACATTGTTTTTAATTTATAAATTTGCTAAAATAATAGATCATAATAAATATTAGCAAATAATTAATTATTGATAAAATGTTTGACAAAAAAGGATTGTCTACATTCAAAATGGTATATTTATACAAATATAATATTTTGTATGTGTAGTGTAAAACAAAATTACAATTCTAAATGGAATTTGTTGTTTTGCTTGCTAATGAAGTCTGCTGCTTTGGTTTGGTATAGGTTACAATCTGTTCTGCATTTCTATCGTCGCACAACTGTGTGAACTTTGCAAAGGGCATTAACTACGAAATAAACCGACTCCATAATTGTGTATACGTATACATACACATAGGATTGTGTATGTGTGTGTACATGTGTTGGTAAATGTTAAAACGCAGTGAACATAAATTGGGATCGTTGTGCGAGCGAGCATAATTAGCGTCATAAATGTATGAAGTTGTTGGGCTTTATTCAGTTCCAAAAAGGGGGTGGGCCGAGGAAAAGTGGGGGTTGTTGGATGGGCGACATTGATTACATCTTGAAACAAGTTTACTTACTTGCATTGCGTCTAAGAATACCTTTTAATGTGCAAATTTAATTTCGCGAAACTGGAGAAAGTTCCGTTTCATAATTGAATTAAAATCGATTCAAATGAAACGAGTTTCCAATAATAAAAACTGAGATTGTATAAGGTTCTCGCGGTATTCGCGTCTCCGAAGGAGGTGGATTCGATTAAAAAAAAATAATTTGTTACTGTGTGCAAATGTAATTGGCCTGGGCTCGTCGAGTCTCACAAAATGGAATAAATCCCCGCAAGGTTGGGCTTTCAATAGGGTGTGAAACGAAGAGTGCGTTCATTTATTTCGATCAAAGAAAATTGCCGAGGAGACCGTCGTCCCGCCCCCGATATTACCATTTGTTAGAAGTCTCAATTGCATCTGGCCGTGTCGCCCAGGATTAAATTAAATTCCCTTTTACCTAAGCCTCGTCCACTGATTAACGTTAGAGTAATAGAAACTCGACTATCCCTCGTCCATTTCGTAATCATCATCAACTTTGTTTGCATCACTTAGTTACCTTTTAACTCGTATCCGTTTTATTTGCAATCATTCTGATTCTTCCTATTCGATACATTATTTGAAACGAAATTATTTGAATTAGGTTTCGTTACTATTTTCAAGCAACATATTGACCGAGCTATTTTTCTCCTAATGTGATGCTCTGTAATGAAGTCATTTATATGTGGGACTATTTGAAATAAAGGAGTCCAATCAATGGGGACGAGAAATAGCCTCAGTCTAGTAGACTAGTCCTCGCCACTTTCGTTTCATTAAGTTGAGTGGAGAGGATCCAACGTCGATCTTACAATTCTTCTATGGAAATTTTCTCATTACAAAAAACATAGTAATTGGTGTTTTATACTGCATTGCATAATTCAATATAATACAGTTTATTCTATATTACTTGTACGCAAACTAATATGCAAGAATCATATTGCAAGCAATAAATTAATTTCTATATTTTTGTCCTGCGTATACTATTAAACTAATGTTAAATAATTATAAGTTAGTTTTTGATAATCAGTACTATTAAACTTTTGATATACACTAAAATTTCAGTATTTGCTTTATTCGTTACGTTCTTATTTCTGCTTCTGGTGTTTCTTAATCAATACTGAGATTGAAACTCATACCTCGACATTTTGAAACTTTTAAAATTTGTTAGGTGTTAGGTGCTTAACAATTAACACTAAATTAATCATCATTTCATAAATTAATGAGATATGTAATAAGAAAATTTATATTAAATAAGAAATATTGGCTTTAACAATACATTTTATATTTTTCATAAATATTATCATTTACTCCAATATCAAAAATAAACATAAATGAAATATTTTGCACTTAAATAAAGAAAATTTTATACTGAACTAAAAATATTATTGGTATAAACTTAAATACATTATTTGTATTATTATTTGATTTATTTCAATATATTATTAAGATTATATTTAGGCATTAAATAGAATATTGATATATGAACATTTAATATATGAAGTTTTTATTTTTAAAACTTCTGTCAGATGAACCAACTACGATCATATTCAATCATAATATTCAAAGTCAAAAAAATAAAAAAATAAATGTCTAGATGTAACGATAATAATTGTCCATAATGGACCAATAAAGTATAATATTAGAGTTTTAATTAATTTATTAATTATTGATCATAAATGATTTTTATTTATTTATTTTTTTAATCTTCTACATTTTAGCAATAATCAAATATTTTGTATATACTTTATATATAATGCAGATGCTAAGGATTATTGTTTATTTATTTTATATTGATAGACTGTGTTATAACACGCGTAAAACATATATAATGTATGTCACTATATTTACTTCCTTATGGTAACTTCTTTAAGTGAAAGTATTTGGTACGTGATGTATGCACACCTAGAACAAACTACATCATATTACGCAAGTTACTTCGTACGTTTCCCTTATTTAATAGGAATACATGATTTAATTGGACGTAAGATTACATTAATATTGACTTTAATTAATCTTTGTTACTAATCTATTAAGTGAAGTTACAACATTGGTTATCAATGAAAATTTAATAAAATTGCATACTTAATCTATTGTTTATATATTTATTTATGATATCTATATTATTGCTGCTTTGTCTTTGAGAATTATAATAGAAATTATTATAAACAAATAAAACATTATATAATCATAAAAAATAAAGAATAAACAGTTAAAAAGGGTTATTGGCTATAGGTTTTTCTGCTCCACATATACTTATATTACATATATTTTACTTAAATAATTATACTAAGAAAATATAATAACAAAATTGTTTACAAAAGTAATAAAATTTACATAAAATAATGAAAATAAACAAGTTTTTACTTTATAATTATGTTGATTGTTTTTATTTAAATCAATTTAATATAAATAATTATTCATAAATCTATTGACCTTGTGTGTGTTTGTTGTATTGATATAAGAATAAACTATGACATTTTTAACATTACAGGGTCATTCAACTGTGTACTTTGCACTTTAAAATTTGTATAAAGTGTCATTTAATTTATTTAACATTCGTAAGTAGTTTTGTAAGATATTCACTATTTTCATAATTTACTATAAAACTAATATATTAATATTTCCATAGTGAAATAATTATATTAGATCGATTTATCCGCAATAAAATGAAGCATTTAGATTACAGAGAAAAGCAAAATAATCCTTGCTGTAATTCGAAGCATTTCTTTATATAAATACAATTTATTGTAACAAGGAAACTGCATTTCATAACTTGCTTAATTCCGAGCTCGGAAAACGTACTGTCATGAAATACTTCTTCAAACGTAAAATAGAAAAATCGGTTGGATTTATTGTCACTGTTGCAATTTTGACGTATTTCTTCTATATCAAGCAGCTATAAATCAGCTGCTGTAAGCGAAGTATATAAGCGGCAGCAGCTTTTCTTGGGCACCCATAAATTCCACACACTCTGGATGAAATTTTTCGGAGAGAAAATATTGTAAAATTAAAAATGATTTACTGGATCGCCCGGAAGATCATAATTATAGATAAAATATGTATGCTGTGCATACGCAATAAACATAGACCGAATGTAGGAAGAAGAAAAAGAAAATAGGGAAAAACCGAATGTGTGTATAAATATAAAAATTTATATGGGACGAAAGGACGGATAATGCTGTAACGTATAGTGATTTAGAATTATGTGGGTGGACAAATTTGTTTTCGGAGCAAAGCTTGAAACTGTGTGATACCAGTGTAAAGTATATTGTCTGGAAGACATTTAGGTCTGGGTTATGGAAAAGGCAATTGAGTGAAACGGCCGATGATAAAGCATCGTATCTAACCTCCTCCTGCATGGCATATACATACTCACAGGCATGCATAAAGGATCACACGTGCTGCATATGTCGCACGGTTGGGAAATGGAAGGATGAAAAAAAAATGGAAGCAAAGGAAAGAGAAAAAAAAATATACATAAAAACGTTTCCTCGTTTCGTTATGTTTCCTTAAAAGGAAATTGCCTATTTTATATACATTTCTGCCTCAATTTATGCCTAAACGATCCCATATTTCTCCTTTTTTGTATAAAAGGACGTTAACCGGTTTTTTTCTTTATAAACAATGTAATAAGAAATGTAAGATTTGATATGGACGAAGCGTATCACTCCATTGGGAATTTTCTTTTAAAGAAAATAAATGTTAAAAAAAATTACAGATTCTTCTTTTTAAAATGTA